TGGCAGCGTACACAAATTCAAGCAGATGAAAAGGTGGACATGGTCTAAGCTTTGCAACTCTTTTCAGAGCTCAGAAATATGCTGAGACAGTGCCAGCACCTGAAAGGGTAGATATATTAGAGGACGGAATATGCCAGTCACCTGTCCAGTCCCATGACTAGAAATTCAGGAACCCAGTCATGGAGACCTTAATGGGTTGAAAATAAAACCTATTGGAAGATGGAAAGTGTTCCTGGAACTGAACTTTGCAAGTAAGTAAATCTCTGCATTCTGCAGTTCAACAGCCTGGAGCAGCTGTGCATCAACTTCACCAATGAGAAACTGCAACAGTTCTTCAACCACCACATGTTCGTGCTGGAGCAGGAAGAGTACAAGAAAGAAGGAATTGAATGGGAGTTCATTGACTTTGGGATGGACCTGGCTGCCTGCATTGAACTCATTGAGAAGGTATTTGTGTAATTCACAACGTCTAATCTTTTCAGAAATGCATTAATTTTTTATATATTTATAAATGTTGCTTGAAAGGGTAAATGTGACATTGTAAATACATAAGTTCAGATTATTTTACAATTTACTCTGCCGAGCAGAAGAACAATCCCTGAGAGAGTTAGTATTGTCTCACTCAGGAAGCTATTTCTTTATCTGTGATTCTTTCTGCCTTTTCACCTCTTCCTCCTTCCTTCTGCTTCTTCCAGCCCATGGGCATCTTCTCCATCCTGGAAGAGGAGTGCATGTTCCCCAAGGCAACTGACACCTCTTTCAAGAACAAGCTTTATGACCAACATCTGGGCAAGTCCAACAACTTCCAGAAGCCCAAGCCTGCCAAAGGGAAGGCTGAGGCCCACTTCTCCCTGGTGCACTATGCTGGCATGGTGGACTACAACATCACTGGCTGGCTGGAGAAAAACAAGGATCCCCTGAATGAAACTGTTGTGGGGCTGTACCAGAAATCATCCCTGAAGACACTGGCCTTACTCTTTGCCTCTGCTGGAGGAGAGGCAGGTCAGTTCTGTGAAATTCATATTTTCATTTTTATTTACTGGCTCTGCCAGAGCCATGAATATCAGCTCAAGTGTTCTAAAGAAACTGCATGTTGTGCAGAGTGTCCCATGGCTTGAATTTATTAATAAAGGAAAAGATCACATGTATTTCAGGCCTTCCACTCAGCCATGATAATCCCTTGGATTATCACACACTTTTGGTCCTGTGTTCCTTTAGACTGAGTGTTGACTCTCTTTCCCACTGCATCTTAGGTACCTTTCTTAGCCTGACTGATACATATGAAAAAGCTTCTTGCTGTCTCATAGAGAAAAATTTTACAAATCAGAGCTCTAAAACCATCTTTTTTTGGTGTTCTTCAGAGAGTGGTGGTGGTGGTGGCAAGAAGGGTGGCAAGAAGAAGGGTTCTTCTTTCCAGACAGTATCTGCTCTTTTCAGGGTAAGTACAGAAGTCATTCTCTCTATTTTTTTCCTCTTTTCTTTTAAGTTGAAGATTATTAACCTCACACTAACTCCAACAAGGCCATTTTACTGCACCTATTAACATTTTTCTGCATCAAGAACATCTCTTCAGTTATTCATAAAAGAGCTGACTGCAAGTCAGCTGAGGCCAGCTGAGGAAGTTACATCTTGATCTCGCTTTTCTTCGAATGTTGTAAGAGGTACTTAGGTCAGGCTAGTTTCATTTACTCATGAGTACACCAGCTGGTAGGATCAAGCTCTTCCCTCTCTCCCTCTGCCTTGGACAGGAGGACAATGGTGGATATGGCTACCTGCCTCTGGGAACCTTAAGTCTGGATCAGCACATATAAATATATGTGCATTTGCACATGATAATACATAACACATAATTGCTTGCACATGATTATACATATGAAGACAAGGCAATAGGGAAATGCCAAGGCCAGTTTCTTTTCCACCAATGGACAGAGCTTAATGCAGATGGAAACACTCTTGTTTCAGAACCTGTGGCATCTAGCTACCATCTGGTATCCTGAACAGTTTTTCACACTGTGAAAGAGATAGCTGTCTGAGCAGCTTTGCCCTGCTCCAAACCAGGGCTGAACTGAGAACTGTTAGGACCTCACTAGTAAAAATGATTGCTAAAATCAGAGCTAGTTCATGGGATTGCTTTTAAAAACAATTCTAGAAAGGGGTGCTGTCAGACCTGCCACTCATGCCTTTTTTTTTTTGTAGAGAAATCTACAACTTGTGACCCCCATACTCAAGAACAGGGAGTCTTTCTTGTCTTCCCCTGCTCGACTGTTGTCAAATATATCCTCACAAGTAGCATTTAATGCCATTAAGCTTCCCTTTCCCAGCATTCTCTGCAAACTTGGTCCTTGGCCCTCTTCCCTTTTGTCCTATTTTTGGTTTTGCTTCTGTTCTCATCAATAGTCAGTGTCTTCCATAGAGTGAGAATCAGGTTATTACAAAGAATCATCTTTCACTCAGAATTACGCCTTTTGCCAGGAGCTTCTGGTCACCATTCTCCATAGGTGTCCTGTCTGAGTGGATGTATCCCTCAGTCTCATGAAAACACATTACACAGTTTTGTGACTTTCTCTCACGCTCAAGACTGAAAGGCAGAAGAAAACTCAAATTGGGATGGCTATAGGTGGGAATAATAAATTCATTATTTCTTTCCAACACTTTTCTAACATCTGACAGTATAACTGCAGAGGTACCATTTGTTAATGAAAAATCTTTGCTCATGAACCCACAGGAGAACCTCAACAAACTGATGACCAATCTACGGAGTACTCACCCCCATTTTGTCCGTTGCATCATCCCTAATGAAACAAAAACACCTGGTAAGAACCTCAAGTAGAGAGAAATCATAGTGTGATGCACCCATTATTCTCTATGCTTTATCATGAAGTATCAAATAATTGTCTTATTCACTCAGGTGCTATGGAGCATGAACTGGTGCTACACCAGCTGCGGTGTAACGGCGTGCTGGAAGGCATCAGAATTTGCAGGAAAGGTTTCCCAAGCAGAATCCTCTATGCAGACTTCAAACAGAGATCAATCTCCTTTCTGCTCTCCATCCTGTCTTTACGGCATAAGTTGTACATCTTCAGTATTTTAACATTTGTTGTTATTTTTTGATGCCAACTCTATCCGATTATAACTGAAAGAAGGGGAAAATGCTGGAATGCATAAATAAAGGCAACATGTACGGCTAGCAAAAAAGAACTTGTTGAGAAATGAAGAGATAAGTCAGGTGTCCTCACTGACTGCTGTTCATCAAACAGTCAAACTTTGCCAGTGTCTCTGAATATGGAAGCACAATAGAGCTCCCCAAGCCAATGCTTACAAGATTAAAAAATGCAAATTGGGATGTGGGTACAACACATTCTCAGACAAAAATGACAAACTCAGATAGAGTGCTTTGGCCATTGTATCAGCTGCAAGTTTCAGGGGAAGATGCTTTCCGCCTATACACAAAGTGGCAATGTTCCTCTCTAGCAACTTTCTACAGCATAGTTTAAGTGAAGAAGGCATCGGACTGAAATGGCTGGAGATCAGTGTCCTCTTTTCATCTATGACTGATCACCTGAAGACAGTAAAAGTTTCCTTAATTTTGTTATCAGATTGGGACTTCATTGTAACGGTGTCTCTAAACAAGGGATGAAATTCCATCTTCCTCAGCCTCATTCTGCTGCAAAGACTGTGGTTAGTCTCAATAAACAGTGTTGACTTATGACCTGAGATTGCCTTCATTCATAGTTCCTCTCACCCCACAGATACAAGGTGCTTAATGCCAGTGCTATCCCAGAGGGACAGTTCATTGATAGCAAGAAGGC